TGGGGGAGTATGGTGCAATACAGGGAGCCAGCTGGTCCGGATCATAAGTTGCTGCCAAGGACTCAATGGGGGATCAATCTTGGTACCTGCCCAGTGAGCAAGGGGTGGGTGATCAAGGATGTGGTTTCGGGGAAGGTCACAATCACCCGAGATGTTGTCTTCTACGAGGAGGTGAACTACCTGCAGTGGAAGGGAATAGAGAAAGGGATTGCAGCAGCAAAGACAACAACTGCACCGGGCAAGGTGGAAGAACTTTTGGAAGAAAAGGAGAGTGAGGGAGTTGGTGATGAAGGAGATGAGGAGATCGAAGATGTGGAACGGGCAGATTCAGTTGATTGGGTGTGGGAGAAGGCACCAGCCAGGGAAGCGGATGAAAGCCAGGGAGTGGAGACCGCAGGGGAGCAGCCAAGCAAAGAAGTAGCTGAGGATGGCATTGATCAAGTGACTGGAAAAGAGCAAGATGAAGAATCAGCAGCTGAAGGAAGTAGCGATCCCTGGAAGCTCCTAAAGAGTGGTGACAACCAGGCAGCAGAGAAGGAGATAGAGGACTTACTTGAGGAGGGCGCCATCGTGATTGGAAGGGAAGTAAAGGATGGAGAAGGGAAAGCATTGACGGATTCCAGTGAGGAAGAGGTTGAATCACCTGCAGAGGAGTTGGGGAAAGGAAAGAGGGTGAAGAAACCAAACCCTCGGTATGCGCAACTGCTGATGACGTGCTGGAAGGACATCCATACCCACCTCCTGCTCTCTGCCACAGCTACTGACCTAGTCTCCACTGAAGGAAAAGTGACACACAACCTGCCCAAAGAACCAGTGAGCATCGAGGAGGCGCTAGAAGGTCCAGAAAGGGAGCAGTGGAAAGCGGCAATTGAGGAGGAGTTGAACACATTGGCTGAAAGGGGCACATGGGAGCTCGTGCCTATGCCGGAAGGGAGGAAAGCTGTGGGAGTGAAGTGGATTTTTAAAATCAAGACCGGAGATATGGGGCAGCTGGAAAGGTTCAAAGCAAGGCTTGTAGCCAAGGGCTACACTCAGGTGGAGGGGAAAGACTGCCAACAAAACGAGATCTACGCTCCAGTGAGCAAGTTGGCAACGGCGCGGGTCTTTCTCAAGGTGGTAGCAGCAAGGAAATACTTCATGGTGCAGCTGGACATAAAAAATGCCTTTTTGTATGGAGTGCTCAAGGAGGACATCTACCTTGAACAACCACCAGGGCATGACGACGGCTCGGGCAGAAAATGCAAGCTCAACAAGGCACTATATGGGCTGAAGCAGAGTCCTAGGGAGTGGTATATGGCGATGGATGAGCGGCTACTGCAAGGGGGATTTCAGAAAAGCGAGTGTGATAGGGCATTCTACTGGAAGGGAGAAGGGAAGGAGAAAGTGTTCTTGGTGCTATACGTGGATGACATCTTGGTGGCAGGGGCGTTAGAGGAGGAGGTAGAGAAGGTGTGCACTCACCTTGCGGAAGTTTTTCAAGTGAAGCAAATTCCGCGGACCACACTTTTCCTCGGCATGAATCTGGAGCGGCGGAAGGAGGAGAAGAAGATGTTCCTATACCAGCAGAAATATTGCAGCAGGGTGCAGCAGAAGTTTGGCAACGGCTACACGAAGGCAATTTCTACACCATTGAGTGGGGTAGCTGAAAGCGACAGTGAACGGGAGGAGGATGTCAACCAATGGGGCGGCAAGGAGAGAGCTCTGCAAGTATATCAGTCAATGGTGGGGTCTATCATGTATCCGGTCTCATGCACGCGCGTCGACATGCATACGCAGCTAGCTATCTTGGGCAACAAGTGCAGCAGCAAGGGGAGAGGAAATGGAGAGAGATGAGGAGGACTATCGACTACCTACTGCAACATGAAGATGAGGGGCTGTTATTCGAAGGAGGTGAAGAGACCTTGGAGTTAGTGGGGTATGCGGATGCTTCACACGCATCCGACAAAAAAACAAGGAGAGGAGCATTCGGCTACGTGTTTCTACTTGGGGGGACAGCAATCATGTGGCAAGCGAAAAGGTTGGCTGACATAGCGCTCTCTAGTGCGGAAGCGGAGTACATGGCTCTGTTTTACGCATGCCAAGAGGGGGTTTGGCTGAGAAGGCTACTCAAGGAGATGGATATCAAGGTGGAAGGGCCGACGGTGATACGCACGGATAGCAAATCTGCCATCGACTTGGCTCACAACGACAATTGGCACGGGAGGACCAAGCATATGGATGTGAAGTATCATTGGGTGCGTTCAAAGGTGAGTAGCAAGGAGTTCAAGTTTGAATTCGTACGTACGGAGGCACAAGCAGCAGATTTTCTGACTAAGGTGTTACCAAAGGGCTAATTTTGAGCGTTGCAAGAGAGAGGTTGGGATGCGTACCTTGGCTGAATTGCAGGGGAGTGTGGAGCAGGCCTAGAGGTAGTTCAAGGTGAAGCATATGAGGGAGAATAAGCTGGTGGTTAGCAAACCACAGAGGAGATTGTTGAAGGTGGTTAGCTAACCACGACCTAGAACGACCTAAAGGGACCTACGTCGACCTAAGAAGAAACCGGTGTGACTAGCAGTGACTAAGGGGGAGTGAGGACCTAAGAAGAATATGAGCTACTTGTGTTGGGGCGGTGGAAGAAGAACACGGCAGCGGCGGAACATGTGATGGGAAACAAAGAGAAGAAGAGGAAGCGTGCAGAAGTGGACAAGAACACGGTGGAAATGTCGAGATTTCAAGCGACGGGAAGAGAAGTCACGCCCAGGTCAAAGGCGCGTCCAAGAAAGTCTGAAATTCGAACTCGAGGCGCGTTCGGTGCATGGTTGGATTTGGAAATTGAGCCGAGTACAACTCAGCTCGAAATTAGGCGCGGCGCGAGGGCGAAATCAGAAATCCTTTTGCTTATAACTTGCTTTGTGTTTTCTGTTTTTGTATGCCTTCTTTAATGAACTTACTTCAACTTTCTGCCTTGGCGTTTTCTAGCAAATACCTTCACACAGTTGAGGCCAGAGCTTCATAAACTTGTTACTAAGACTCTAAACAGTCTTCATAGTCTAGTCGAAAGGCTGCGCACGTACAAGAGGGGAAGCAGCAGAGTGAACGGCAAGGCGAGCGGAGCAGATGGTGGTATAGGCAGCAGCGGGGCGAGCAGCAGCGGTGAGATGAGCAGCTTTAACAGCGGCAGTGGCAGCGGGAGGAGGAGGGCGAGAGTGCGGCGAGTGAAGGCACATCGGGGGCCGGTGGTTGCGGTAGCGCTGGCAGAGCATGCAGAGTCACACGAGTTGCTTCTCACCACTGCGGGCGCTGATGGCATGGTGAAGGTGAGACCGTGAAGGGGCGCTGATGGCATGGTGAAGGTGAGGGGCGCTCTTCGTGTGTAGGTGGTGTGAGGTGTGTGTAAATTACATCGCGGCCTGGATGGTGGCAGTGGCGCTGGCAGAGCATGCAGAGTCACGCGACCTGCTGCTCACCACTGCAGGTGCTGATGGCATGGTGAAGGAGAGGGGGAGGTGATAGGCCTATAGTTGGTATGATGATTCTAGAGCAGCTCCATTACTGCAGAGCATGCAGAATCGCACGACTTGCTGCTCACCTCTGCAAGCGCTGATGGCATGGTGAAGGTGAGGAGGCGATGATGGCATGGTGATTGTGAGTGAGACCGTGAAGGGGGGATGATGGCATGGTGAAGGTGAGGGGCGCTCTTGGTGTGTAGGTGGTGTGTGTGAGGAGGGTGAAGGTGCATTGCGGCCCGGTGGCAGTGGCGCTGGCAGAGCATGCAGAGTCGCATGACCTGCTGCTTACCACAGCGGGGGCTGATGGCATGGTGAAGGTGAGAGGGAGCGCTCATGGCGTACAGTGAGGGGGGCTCTTGGCGTATCGTGTTGGTGGTGTGGAAAGGGTTGGTGGTAGAGGCTGATGGCATGGTGAAGGTGAGGGTACTCATGGCCTGTGGCTACTGTCGCTAACACTCAAAAGCAGCTTCACTACGGCAGAACATGCAGAGTCAGGCAACTTGCTGCTCTCCACTGCAGGGTGCTGATCCCATGGTGAAGTGAGCTCGGGTTGATTGCTCTGCACTTTCTGGAGCCCCCCTTTCCCAACTTCTTTCCTATCCTTGGATCCTCCTTCCGTGTAATCCGCCCTCCACCAATCAGGTCTTCTCTCTCCCATCCCCCCCTCCTAACATCTTCCTCCGATTCTCTCTCCCCGCAATCCGCCTCCACCAATCAGGTCTTCTCGGTGGAGTCGCAACAGCAGCTGAGGTCAGCGCGAGTTGGCAGCCTCCCATTGGCCAGCATGGCGTTGCTGCCGCCCCTTCCCTCCCACTGCTACCCAGTTGAGATTCTTCCCACTTGTAACACTTCCCTCCTTTTGCCCCTTTTTGAAGGGCACGTCAATACTACTCCCACTGCTCTCTCTCCGCATATTCCTTCTTGAGCATGCTTCTGGGTATGCTCCTCCCATCCGTCCCTGTCCTAAATGATTCCACACCTCTCTTCTCCCCATGCTGCTTTTCCACGAGCCTTTCTCCTCCTCGGCTCCCCTTCGCTCTGCCTGTACCTTCTGCTGTCACCACTACCAGTCAGTGCTGCTGGGCTCCTCGGACGACCACGTGTGGCTCTACTCGTGCCTGACTTTGGCTGACCTGGCCCAGTACATGCCCTTCCCTCCTCTCCTTGCTCCAATGCCCTCGTTGCACCACCACCTCTCCCACACACCAGTCTGTGCTGTTGGGCTCATCAAACGACCACGTGTGGCTCTACTCGCCTGACTTTGGCCGATGCCTCTCCAAGGTACTCCTCCCTCCATGCTACGCTACGCTACCCATCTGCACACACTTGCACCCAATCACACACACACACGATGGCCTGGTGTCATGTGTGCAAGTAACCCTAAGAACGATGCTTGCTGTCTCTCTCCTCCCATTCCTTAATCCCCCCTGCTTCTTTCCCCTCCTCCCCTTCCCCCTTGTCCCTTTGCCGCCCCCACCCCTCCTCCTCATGCCCACCTATATGCCACATCAGATGCATGCACACGATGACACGGTGTCATGCATTCAGGTCAGCCAATGGGGCGCTCACACGTGTCTGGTCACTACATCATGGGACGGCAGTGTGAAGCAGTGGAGCATGGCGCACTCGCCCTTCCTCTCCGCCTCACCTTCCTCCTCCTCCTCCTCCTCCTCCTCCTCCTCCTCCTCCTCCTCCTCCTCCTCCTCCTCCTCCTCCTCCTCCTCCTCCTCCTCGTCCTCCTCCTCCTCCTCCTCCTCCTCCTCGCCCCACTCCTATGCTGGCTCAGACACTTCAGGTCAGCCCAACCACAGTCATGCCGATTCCCATAGCGCGCCTAATCCCCTTCGCCTCCTTTGCCTCCTTCTCCTCCTCCTCCTCCCACTCCTATGCTGAATCCGACACTTCAGGTCAGTCCATACCGCTACATCTCCCCACGATTCCACCTCTCTGTAATGGAGCTCCATCAGATGAGGTTACTGTTAAGTTGACTCGACTTTTGAGTCAACTCAAAAGTCACTACGACTCCCCACGATTCCACCTTTCTGTGATGGGGATCCATCATATGACTAATTCACGCCTGAACTGCTACCCACTTCTTTGTCTTCCCTTCCTGTCTCCCTTATTGCGCCTTTCGTACACCTTCGTCCTCCTCCCTTCCAATCATTTACTCCCCACCACCAGTCCACCCCCCTCCTCTAGCGGAGCTCAATCAACTCGACGCACCAATCACATCACTCCAAGTGGCCATCCCTGCCACGTCAGCATGGCCCCTTGCTGCCTCAGGGTCAGCCAATGGTAGAGACTGTCAGCTCAGTGCAGAAACAAATCTAAGTGATGGCAAACGCGTTCGGGGTTGTAAGCGCTTGCGTTTAAACATGGAATGCGTTCGCCATCACGTGGGCCTCGAAGGGTATTCAGTCACTCAGGCAGATGTTATCTGACTGACCTTAACTTGTGCTCTCAAACTCCTCCCTGGCATGCTTGCGTATGCAGTGTGTTTGTCCTCATCTGCGTTTCATGACGATTTTTTTAAAACAAATTTGTGTGATTCTAAGTTGCTTGCTTCTTCAAAAATTGCTTTCTTCTTCACGCTTTCGCTCCTGAGGATTCCCCCCTCCTGTATCTCCGTCTACCCACTCTATCCAACGACCCTTCATTTCCATTTTCATCTCAAATTGGCTCAATGAGTCGATTTGAAATAGCTTACAAGTTAATTCCATTATCTCAACTCCATCCACTCACTCTCCTTCGTACCCCCTGTCACCCCCCTCGCGTCTCTTTTGTTCCATGAACCCATCTTTGACCCCTTGTCCGCACAATCTCCCCCCACCCTTCATAATCTTCTCTCCCATCCCCCCCCCCGCTCTCTCCGTTCTATGCACTGTGTTGATGTGGGACATGCGAGCACCCCCCTCGGCATCTGTCCCCTGGAGCTGCCGCCTCTCCCCTCTCACCACCACGATCGCCATCATTATTCCCTCTCCCACTTTCACTCCCACAATGCTCCTTGCCCCTCCTTCAGGCGCCGTGTTGCTGTGGGACATGCGAGCGCCCCCCTCGGCATCTGTTCCCTGGAGGTGCCGCCTCTCCCCACTCACCACCGCCGCTTCCACGTCGCCACTAGCAGTGACAGGGCTGGTGTTCTCATATGGGGGTCTGCACGTCACTGCTGCTGACTCCACAGGGGGGCTCAGAGTGCTGGAGGTGAGGCTTTAGGGGCTTTAAGGCTCAGAGTGATAGGTCTAATGTTCTTAATGCCCCTCAGAGTGACAGGGCTACTGTTCTTAAATAGTAGCACAGCTCCTCACAGATGTTGACTCCACAAAGAGTCTCACAGTGCTCGAAGGGCTTTAAGGGCCAGTCGTTTCTTACAGGGAAAATCCACTGTGCCACTGCTGCACCCCACCCACCCCATCATGCTTACAACGCAGTAAGCTTATCATGTACTCATCCCATCCTCGCCCCTCCTCCTCTGCCACCTGGCTCTCAACATCAGATGCGCATGGGCGGTGCTGAGCTGGCGTCTCAGCACTGTCCAGGTGGCGGCCTCACGTGCTGCCAGCCTCTTGGCGATCAGTCCATCCTCGCTGGCAGGTGAGGAGAGGAGGGTGGCAGGTGAGGAGAGGAGGAAGTTGGACTAAGAAGCATCTTGGCATCGTGTCATAAGTTCCACGGTCTACAGAAGCTCTCACCAACCTATCTCACAGATTCCAAATGACATCACCTCATCTTCTTCTCTCCTATCTCAGTTCTTGGGACCATTGTTAGGCCTCTTGCCTCGTCTTCCCTTCTCACTCTGGCATTCGATCACTTGCCTCATGGTCCATCCAATGCTCCTTTGAACAATCCCAGATGTACCACCTTTCCCTTCCCTTGCCTTCCTCCTTTCAGTGATTCGGGCGACATTTTTGCCTGGGCGTGGGCATCTAAGCTTGAATCCCTTAACCCTCATTCTAATGGAGCCATGCGCCACTTCGCAAGGAACCACGGAGGCCTCTCTGGGGGTGTAGTAGGGCAGCAGCACGGTGTACAGTCTTCACCAAAAAGAGCTCAAGCCTTGAGCTTCTTTTCTGTGCCGATTAGTTCGTCTCGTGTGTCTTCTCTTGTTTCTGCAAGTGGTGTATACCGATATATAACGTAAGACACTGTGGGCGCACCACCTTTTACTGCTGTCGGTTGTGAAGAGGGCTCGGCAAGCTTGGTACGGTAGCATGAATTGGCCTGGAATCTGAGTCATACATTTCTGTGTCAAAATCGTAGCACAATTTTTAACATAGCAACCTAGGGTTTAGCTAGGAGGCTTAGGTGAGGGGAGCTAAGCAAGAGAGATGGCACAAAGAGGGTTTGCACTATGAAGTGACAAATACAAATATGGCAAGAACAATGGTGCACCACCAACAATGAAGCAATAGCTACACTACACCTGCGAATGATTATATGACACGCCCCCTTAATTGTTTGCAGGAGTAAGTGTAAAACGCCCCCTTACGGGGTACACCTTGCAGAGTGCACCGGAAGTAGCATGCGTTGAAAGGAGTAGAGGCCAAGTGAGGAGGAGACGGCTGATGCTACAGATGGACTCACACCACCCCCTCAACCTCCCCCCCACAGCAGCAACAGCAACAGCAATGAGGAGAGAGAGGAGGAGACATGGCGGCAGTTGCTGCAGTTAAGACACCCTCCTCCCCCCCTTCCTCCCCCCACACCCCCCCCAGAAATTGCTGCACGCGCAACAAGGAGAGGGAGGAGGCTGGCGATGTAGGTGCAGCCTCCCCTTTGTTACGATATGGAATAGTTGAACAAACATTCCTGAGTAACGAATCCTTAACGCGAAGATGACTGCAGCGAGGACGAAAGACCAAGCGTCAAGACAGTTATCGAAGACGGTTGCAAGCAGGAAGAATTCGAAATGAAAAGAGCGGGAAAAGTTCAAACGGTTGCCGCACCGCGTACAGTTACCGAGCAGCACGGTTTGCACCCGTGCATCTAGATTAGCCCTAAGGGGAATGTACCCCCTCAGAGTACATGGCTAGCTAGGACCTTTCGTATTCCACTGTATTCCTATATAAACCCTTGTACCGCATTGTATTAGTCACTTCTGTCGAGATTCAAATCTCCTTCTTCTGACAGAGTCTGTACTCGACATTGCCTAGCAATCTTCCGCTGCTACTCTTACGTACGATCAACCTGAGACGATCCTATAAGACGGTTCAGATTGTATCATGGTATGAGAGCCACTCAGGATTCTTCGCATCACCACCTTTGATTCAAATTCAAATTCAAGGTGGCGTCCGGTACGCGCTCCCCCGAAATATGGCTGGAGGATCTGGCGGACAAGCGGCCAACACGTCCGAACCTCCCTCCAACCTAACCGCGAACTCCACGGGAACAACCACCGTCAGCAATGCGCTACTGGAGCAACTCATCCAGCGGATCACCACGCTGGAATCTGGAATTCAACAATTGAAGAATGAAAACCTAGCGACCACGCAACAACCCGAGCCACCGGCCGCTCCAGCCAAGGAACCAAGCCCAATCACTTTCGACCTCGGAGCAAACTCCTCTGCTCCAACCAAACCTCGTCCAAGTGACGAAGCCGTGCTCGCAGCTCAGAACAAGTTTCTGACCATCTCCAAAATCCGCACCGTACCGTGTTTAGCGGACGAGACTTCTACACCTGGAGCTTCGAGCTCGAGCTACTCCTGCAAAACGCGCAAATCTTTTGCTACTTTGATGGAAGCTACGTTGGCCCCACCAGCGATACCGACGACACAAAAGCATAATACTACAACGAATCGCTAATGGCTTATAACGTTCTCCTTCGGAACATGGCGCCAGCCGAACAACTCGGCATCCGCCCCTACAAGACCTACCCAGCCCCCACCCTCGCCGCCTGGAGCTACCTCAACAAGACTTATCAACCCAAGGACTCCGTCTCATCCTGTCGCCTGCTTCAGGAACTCATGGAAGTCAAAATGGCACCTGGCGAGAAGGCAAACGCTTACATCAACCGCCACAGCAATGTCCGCGACCAACTTCTAAAGTTGGGTAACACCATCTCCGAGGACATGTTCGTCACCATCGTCCTCCGAGGACTCAGCCCCTGGAGGCAAACGCTTACATCAACCGCTGCAAAGCCCTGCTTCGCCAACAGGGCATAGTCTCCAAAGCGCATCTTTGCGCCACCTTGCTGCACGAACAGCAAGACATGGATTTCAATAAGGAAAATGGGGCGCGCCGCGAACAAATTGCCTTCTAGTCCGATCGCGACTTTCGAAGAAATCGCGACACACGACCTCGACAATACTACTGCAAGAATTGCAAAGCCTTCGGCCACTCCACCAAACGGTGCTGATCCGGACCACGCTCCAACTCCGCACCGCGCAACCACTCTGCACATGTCTCAGATCAAACGCGCCAGGCCAACCGACCGTCTTCGGACTATCGGTTCGCCCCGCGCCAACCTTCGCAACCAAACTCGCAGCGGCCACCACAGAACAACACTGTCCGCCACGTCATGGCAACATGGCGATGCGTGTTCGTCGCCGCACTCGGCGCACAAACCGGCAGCATCTCCACTACATCTCACACCCTCTGCCTGGACAAGAGGTTTGGTTCAACAGCTACAACAATCCGTTCACGCGAGATGGAGAATTCGTTTCCGACAAAAAAGACTGGAACTTGCCAACATTGCTGCTGGAGTCCCCACCCCATGACGAGGATTTTCTCAACTGACCGTCAATCACAAACTACTTCTTCGGCCACAATATCGACACTCGCCCCCTCAACAACTACGTCGCTGCCGGCTATAGACGCATTCCATCCCGCAACACTCCGAACCTCGCGCTCTCAGCCCAACGTCGCGGAAACTGTCACAACACATGGTTCCTCGACAACTGTTGCGGACAACACATGGTTGGATCGAAACGCTACATCTCCAACGCATACCCCATCCCAGAACCAACCATCATCACCGTAGCCAACGCGCAGCAGCTCCATGCCCGAGCATGCGGCATCGTCGTCCTCAAAGCGCACGACAGCGACATTCACATCACGCTGAACGACATCCTAATCGTGCGGGACGTGCAGTACAACTTACTCTCCTACGACCAACTCGTCCAAAGCGGAGTACTCATGCACACTGACCCTGCTACCCGCGACATCATCATGCACTGGAAGGACTACAGCACACCGAACAGCACACCCCGTTAATTCGGCAGAGCTCACTCCGACGACGTCGTCTACATCCTCGAATTCGACATCCCCAACTGCAGCGCCGACTCAGAGATCTCATCGATCTCCTACCTCAAGGCGTGGCATGGTCAAACAAGCCAACTCACCCTGACGGCCGCCCCTGGGTCAAGCACCACGCCCACCCAAGAGAGATTGACCTCCACGCTCCTGGACCTGATGGACTCTGCCGCAATTGCCGCACACCAACTGCCTCATCCACAGAAGACAGAGCAAAGAAGCCGCAACCGCCCTCGCAAGGAAAAGGAAAGGAGCCAGCCGATGAAGCAGAATCATCCACTAAAGCTGCGCAACGACTCGCTGCCGCCGCAATCTCAGCCGCTGCCCCAAAGGCGCCCTCTGACCCGACCTCAGCTGTGACCACTCCACCACTCTCTCCTGTTCTGGACATCATCGAAGAAGCCGAGTGGCAAACCCCTCACCCAACTGGCATGAGGGACGGAGAACTTGCCGCCACGCTCACCATCTTCCAGCACTGCAAAACACGGACCGACCCCACTGTCCACAACCGCCTCGATCTCCTCACTCGCTACATCGGCCCTGGTGCGTTTGATGCACGGAACAACCCCCTTCCCCTGACCAAGGATTCATACTACGTTGATCACCCATGGTCCCAACCCACCATGACGACCGAAGAGTTTCAGCGCCACGAGAAAGAGGAGCGTCGCCGCTGCGCCGATGAAGAAGCCAAGGCAACAGCGGCAGCAGCAGCTGGAGGATAGGGAAGCGAAACTGCCAAAGCTAGATGGGGAAGCACCGTGCCAACCTAGGGAACACCGCCACACGAGGAGAAAGAACCAATCGAAGAGGAAATCGCGCACGCCGAAGCCGAAGCCGCCGCAGAAGCCGCAGGACCGTCGGCTCCCCTCACCCCCTCAGCATCCCTCCCTCGGGCACCCCAACCACCAGTGACTCCTGGGGCTCCTCCGTAGATTCTCGACCGCCCAGAGACCGTGACACTATAC